GTCTCCCTCATTGGAAGCCCTTTCTCACCGAGGCGTGGGGAGTGGCGAGGGCCTGGAAGCGGTCTCAGCCACCTCGCCTTCGGCCGCCAATGCCACGAGCGCTCTTGCGCGCTATGGTGGCAGTTTGTTTCACTTGGGACTGGCCAGTCATGGCCGCCTTGCTGCTGGCAGGGTTCACGATGTCCTTGAAGCCCGACGAGCTGCTGTCAGCCCGTCGCTGTGACCTTTTGTTGCCTTCGGATTGCCTTGAGTCCTCAGGCAACGCTTGGATGACCATTCCCGATCCAGTGAGCAGCATGTCTTACCCGCCACAGCACGCCTGGTGCTCTGACAAAGCGGTGGTTCGGGTTTTGGAGATGGTCTTTCGGCATTTGGGTCCCACCGATCCTCTGTCGACCTTTGGTCAAAGCGGCTTCCGTACTCGGTGGAACCATTTACTTTTGGCGTTAGGCGTACCGCTCGCCGAGACGCCAGCGGGGTTCCACTTGACCCCTGCTTGCCCCCGCGGCTCAGGCGCGACAGACTTTCATACGGCCACAGAAGATATTGGTCGTATCTTCTGGCGTAGTCGCTGGCGCCAGGCGTCTAGCGCGGAGCGCTTCTTGCACGACGATGCTTCCGCCGCGATGCTTTCCGCCTTGCCTGATGCCGCTCGGGCCCGTGTCACCTACTTCGATGGCGCGAGCGACTTCCTTGTCGCTTCCTTTCTGAACTGTGGCCCCACTGCGTGGCCCCTTCTGCTCGCGGCCGCCCGCCAAAACCTTGTCACTTCGCAAGGGCTTTGAGCCTGGGTATGGCTGCTACGGCCACCTGGCCGTCCAGATGGCCTCGTTGGACGAGGTCGTCTGAGGGCGCCGCACGGCTTGGGCGCGGCGCCCCGTCATCCTTTACGGGTCGCCGCGCGCGCGCCGCGCGCCCGCCTCCGGGACCTGATCGCTTGCGCTGCGTGCGGGAGAATGCGCTTCTCTATTCTCCTTGCCGCTCGCGCCCGTTCAGGTCCTGCAGCTTCTCGGCCCCCTCCCCCCCTCCCCGCCTTACTCAGGCAGGCCTGCGGCGCTGCTACGGCCACCTGGCCGTCCAGATGGCCTCGTTGGACGAGGTCGTCTGAGGGCGCCGCACGGCTTGGGCGCGGCGCCCCGTCATCCTTTACGGGTCGCCGCGCGCGCCGCGCGCCCGCCTCCGGGACCTGATCGCTTGCGCTGCGTGCGGGAGAATCATCATCATCATCATCATCATCATCATCATCATCATCATCATCATCATCATCATCATCATCATCATTATCATTATCACCACCATCATCATCAGCATCATCATCCTCTCCAGCATCACCATAACCATCATCAGAATGACCAGTACCATCCTCATCCCAATTCCTCCTCATCCTCCATTTCCTTCTTGCTCCCGTTCCACATCCTCCCAAAACGCGTCCGTCGGCGGCTCCCAGAAACCATCCTGGGCAGGTTTTCGCCTCTTGGCGGCTGAGGCGGCGAGAGCTTCCAGAAGCGACCCAGAAACCTTCGACGACGGCTCGACCCGGACAACGGCGACATTTCGTAGAGGACGACAACGACGACGACGCCGTCGACGACCGACGACGACGTGCACGGCCCCCAGGACTCCCCATAGGCCCCGCACGGGCCTCCGGAGGGCGACGTCGCGGCCGCCGTCCGCGTCGCTTCGCCGCCGCCGCCGCTGTCGGCGCCCGCCGAAGGGCGGGGACGCCGTCGTTGCCGTCGCCGCCGCCGTCGTCGTTGTCGTCGTCGTTGACTTCGTCGTCGTCGTCGTCGTCGTCGTCGTAGGAGGGGGGAAGGGGGAGGAGGAGCAGGATGAGGAGGAGGAAAAAGAGGAGGAGGAGGAAGAGGAGCATTCGTCGTTGTAGTATTCTTCGTCGTCGTTGTAGATTTCGTCGTCGTCGTTGTCGTCATCGTTGCCGTCCGCCGTCGTCGTCGTCGTCGTCGTCGTCGTCGTTGTTGCATTCGTCGTCGTCGTGGTCGTCGTTGTCGCTGTCGCAAACGTCGTCGTCGTCGTCGTCGTCGTAGTCGCCGTCGTTGTCCTTGTAGTATTCGTCGTCTTCGCCATGGTCGTCGTCGTTGTTTTCGCAGCGGTCGTCGTCGTCGTCGTCGCAGTTGTCGTCGCCGTCGTAGTTGCCATCGTCATCGTTGTGGTATTCGTCGTCATCGTCGTTTTCGTCCTTGTCGTCGTCGCAATCCGGTAATAGCATTCGTCATCATCGTCGTTGGTGTTGCCCGTGTCCTCGTTGTAGTATTCGCCGTCGTTTTCGTCGTTGTTGGTTGTTGCCGAGGTCGTCGTCGTTGTCGTTGTAGTATATGTCGTCGTCGTTGTCGTCGTCGTCGTCGTTGTAGTGTTGGTTTTCGTTGTAGTAGTCGCCATCGTCTTCGCCGCGGTCGTCGTCGTCGTAGATTTTGTCGCTGTTGCTGCAGTGTTCGTCGTCGTCGTCGTTTTCGTCATTGTCGTCGTCGCTGTCGCTGTAATTTTCGTCGTCGTCGTCGCTGGTGCTGCCAGTGTTGCCGGTATTTTATTCATCGTCGTCTTCGTCGCCGTTGTCGCCGAGGTCGTCGCGGTTGTCGTTGTAGGGTATCTCGTCGTCGTTGTCGTCGTCGGTTTCGTTGTAGTATTCGTCGTCGTCTTCGCCGCGGTCGTCGTCGTCGTTGCAGTATTCGTCGTCGTCGTCGTTGTCGTCCGTCGTCTTAGTAATACGTCTTCGCCGCGGGTTTTTTCGTCGTCGTCATCCTCGCCGTCGTTGTTGTCGTCGTTGTCGTTTTCGTTTTTGTCGGTTTAGTGTTCGGCATCGTTGTCGTTGTAGTATTCGTCGTCGCCCTCGTCATTTGCGCCGCGGTCGTCGCGGTGTAGTTGTAGTATTCGTTGTCGTTGTCGCCGTCGTCGTCGTAATCGTCGTCATCGCGTTATTTACGCGTCGTCTTCGTTGTAGTTGTCGTCGCCGTCGTCGTCGTCGTCGTCGTCGTCGTCGTAATGTTCGTCGCTGTCGTCGTGATTGTCGTCGTTGTCGTCAGTGTAGTATTCGTCGTCGTCGTCTTCGCAGCTGTCGCCGTTGTCGTTGTAATATTCGTCGTCGCTATTGTTTTTTCGCCGCGGTCGTCGCCGTCGCAGTCGTCGTTGTAGTGTTTTCGTCGTCGTCGCCGTCGTTGTAGCATTCGTCTTCGTCTTCGCCGCGGCCGCCGTCGTCGTTGTAGTATTCGTCGTCGCCGCCTTCTCTGCGGTCGTCGTCGTCGTCACCGTCGTTGTAGCATCCATCGCCGCCGTCGTGATTATCGGCAATGTCGCCGCCGTTGTTGCAGTATTCGTCGTCTCTGTCGTCTCCGCTGCAGTCGCCGTCGCCGTCGTCGGAGGAGGAGGAGGAGGACGAGGAGGAGGACGAGGACAAGGAGGAGGAGAGGAGGACGAGGGGGACGAGGAGGGAGGAGGGACGGAGGGAGGAGGGAGGAGGGAGGAGGGAGGAGGAGGAGGGAGGAGGAGGAGGAGGAGGAGGAGGAGGGAGGAGGCGGAGGAGGAGCAGGAGGAGGAGCAGGAGGAGGAGGAGGAGGAGGAGGAGGAGGAGGAGGAGGAGGAGGAGGAGGAGAGGAGGAGGAGGAGGAGGAGGAGGAGGAGAGAGGGGGAGGAGAAGGAGAGGAGGAGGAGAGAAAGGAGGAGAAGGAGGAGGAGGAGGAGACGAGGACGAGGCCGAGGACGAGGACGAGGACGAGGAGGAGGAGGAGAAGGGAGGGAGGGGAGGGAGGGAGGGAGGGAGGGTAGGGCCAGACCTCGTCCCGATGTCTTCAGACCGGGGGGCGGCGCAACGACAGTCTGCTTCGTTCGGAGCTACGGCGCCTCTCTTGAGGATGCCGACCGGTCCGAGCTCTTGAGCCGGATCTGGCGGGACATCTCACGCACCCTTCAACAAGGGAATGCTGAGATGATCCTGAGCGCCCTGGGGAGGTAGGCGCTGACCACTATCACCACCACGTGACCAACCACCAGTACGACCACTACCAGCCCGTCCGACTCTCAGGACCACCGCCGCCCGTACGGCCACCACAGCCACCAGCTGACTGACTACCAAAATCACCACCACCAGCACGACCACCACGACCTCCAGCACCACCAGCAAACCGACCACACCTCCCAGCCACCACGACCACCACCATCACGACCACCACGACGACTACCACCAGCACGACCACCACGACCACCACCAGCTTGACCACCACCACCACCACGCCGACGGGCACCGCCGCCCCCCGTCCCCCTTTCCCTTCCTCGTCCCTCCCCGTCCCCTGCCGGGCCGCCCTTGCCGGTGCGCCTCCTGCGCGGCCTCCTCCTCCCCCGGCCGCCCCTGCTGCAGCCAGTCCTCCTCCTCTTTATAGAGAGCGCCAACGAATTAACCTGCCTTTCGGTTAGTCCCCGCCGGACTGACCTCTTTCCGGCATCGCCGTCGGTCCCCCTGGGGCGCAGGGGGTGCCGGTCCCACTCGGGAGCCGGCGGGCGACGGGAGGGAGGGAGGGAGGGAGGGAGGGAGGGAGGGAGGGGAGGGGGAGGGAGGGAGGGAGGAGGGAGGAGGAGGGAGGGAGGGAGGATGGAGGGAGGGAGATGGAGGAGGGAGGGAGGGAGGGAGTGGGGAGGGAGGGAGGGGAGGGAGGGGAGGGAGGGAGAGAGTGGAGGAGGGAGGAGGAGTAGGGGAGGAGGAGGAGGAGGAGGAGGAGGAGGAGGAGGAGGGAGGAGGAGGAGGTAGGAAGGAGGGAGGAGGAGGAGGAGGAGGAGGAGGAGGAGGAGGAGGAGGAGGAGGAGGAGGAGGAGGAGGAGGAGGAGGAGGAAGAGAGGAGGAGGATAGAGGAGGAGGGGAGGAGGAGGAGGAGGAGGAGGAGGAGGGGGGAGGGGGAGGAGGCGGAGGAGGAGGAGGAGGAGGAGGAGGAGGAGGAGGGAGGAGGAGGAGGAGGAGGAGGAGGAGGTGCCGCCGCCGCCGCCGCCGCCAGCGCCGCCAGGGCGAGGTGCCGGTGCAGCGCATTGTGCGGCTGTGCCCCCACAGCGGCCACCAGCAGGCGTCCCAGGCGCCTTCGGGCGGGGCGAGCGCGCGCGCGGCTGCGGGAGGGCGGCTGGAGCAGGGGAGGCCGGAGGGCGGAGGAGCGAGGAGCGAGGGGGGGGAGGAGGAGGAGGAGGAGGAGGAGGAGGAGGAGGAGGAGGAGGAGGAGGAGGAGGAGGAGGAGGAGGAGGAGGAGGAGGAGGGGAGGAGGAAAGAGGGAGGAGGAGGAGGAGATGGAGGAGGTGGAGAATAGGCAGACAGGGCTTCAGATGTGTATATGTACATATATGTGCATATATAGATATATTCAAGGATGTGGCGACCATCGGAAAAGTTGTGGCGAATTGGATAGTTCATACACGGTTGTGCCGCGTCAGACTGGGATTCGTGTGCATCAGTTTCCGCAGAAGTAGGGGTGAGGTGGAGGAGCAGCCTGGGAGGTTGTGGGGTATGCTGTCCGTTGTGCGCACCTCTGTGCCTCAATGTTTCGTCCTCATGTGTGCCCAGTGCGCACGCGCTGGTTGTTTGTTATTCGTGGTTGATGGAGCGCTGAGTTTCCATCTCGTCTTTACCTCGGATCGCGGCCGACGCTACAGCCCTCTACAACCTCGGGAGTATTTCTCCTCACGCGGCACCGGTGCCCAGAGAAGAAATGGAAGACACATACATGCTGTTGCGCCCTGTCCACATACATGACAGTATGATGATGCTGATGCTGATGATGTTGATAATGAGGAGGAGGAGGAGGAGGAGGAGGAAGAGGAGGAGGAGGAGGAGGAGGAGGAAGGGAGGAGGAGGAGAGTGGAGGAGAGTGGAGGAGGAGGTGACGGGAGGAGGAGGAGGAGGAGGAGGGAGGAGGAGGGAGGAGGAGGAGGAGGAGGAGAGAGGAGGAGAGAGGAGGCGGGAGGAGGAGGATGAGAAGGGAGGAGGAGGAGGAGGGAGGAGGAGGAGGAGGAGGAGGAGGAGCTCCGAGTGAGGAGGAGGAGGAGGAGGAGGAGGAAGAGGCAGGGAAGAGGAGGGAAAGAGGAGGAGGAGGAGGAGGAGGAGGAGGAGGAGGAGAGGAGGAGGAGGAGGAGGAGGAGGAGGAGGAGCGAGGAGGAGGAGAAGGAGGTTGCGCTCCAACCACATACATCATGTTGTGGCCCAACCGTGGAGAAGCCGCGGAGCGGCCGCAGAAGGGGGGGGGGCGCAAGAACCAGACAGACTTAATAACTCGATTGCAATTTTACTGGACAGATCGATCATTTTGGGAGAGCCCCCCATTACCCGAGTTGTAATTGCAAGACCTCTGCGGGGAACCCCCTTTGGGTCATCCCCTCCTTCAGTTTGTTTCCCCAACTAGGCTTGCCTAAGGGGTTCTTACTTGGTTACAGGTTGGTGCCCCGGGTGGCTACTTTGCCCGTTCCTCGGAGGTTCCCCGGGTTCCTTGGGTTCCCCGTGTTCCTCGGGTTCCTCCGGTTCTTCGGGTTCCCCTGGTTCCCAGGGTTCCCCGGGTTCCTCGGGTTCCTCGGGCTCCCCGGGTTCCCGGGTTCCTTGGGTTCCTCGGGTTCTTCGGAGGTTCTCTGGGTTGCTCGGGTTCCCCTGGTTCCTCGGGTTCTCCGGGTTTCTCGGGTTCCTTGGGTTCCTCGGGTTCCCCGGGTTCTTCGGGTTCCTCGGGTTCTCCGGGTTCTCTGGGTTGCTCGGGTTCCCCCGGTTCCACGGGCTCTTCGGCTTCCTCGGGTTCTTCGGGTTCCCCTGGTTCCTCGGGTTCCTTTGTTTCCTCGGATTCTCCAAGTAATGCCAAGCATTGCCAAGCAATGCCAAGCAATGCCACGCAATGCCAAACAATGTCGAGCAATGCCAAGCAATGTCAAGCAATGCCAAGCAATGCCAAGCAATGCCGAGCAATGCGAAGCAATGCCAAGCAACGCAAACCACTGCGTCCATGCAATAGGAAGCTTTCTCCTAATTGCGGTCGCGCCGGGTTCATTTTACTAAGGCCAGTTGGTGGGGCCAGGTTTGAGGCGTTTCGCTTAGGATGTCCTCAGAATGTGCTAAGTTTGGCACCTGGTTTCGTCTGATTTGGCTTGGTTTGGCCTGGGTTGGCTGGACGACTCGCCTGAGACATCCTCAGAATTGGCTTGGTTCTGGCCCTGGCTTAGCTTGGTTTGGGGTTGATTTCGCTAGATACTTCCTCATGGTTTGCTTGGTGTGGGTTTGTTCGGTGCGGTTTCGTTTGAGGCGTGCTCGCGATTTCCTTGATTCGGTTTGGGCGCGATTTCGAGTGAGACGTCCTCACGATTCGCTTGGTTTTGCTTTGGTTTCGCTTTAAAAGTCCTTATAGCTGACCTGATTCGATCTGGTTTGGGCGGCATCTCCTTTGAGAGGTCGTCCACATGCTACGTGGCGTCAGTTATGCAGTGCAAGCGATGTCGCGCAAACCCACATCGTCGCAAGCTATGTGGTGCAAAGGATGTTTGGAAGCTATCTGTGATGCAAGCTGCGTGGCGTCTGCCCGGTGTCCCGAGGCTGTCGCGTGGGAGAGTTATACATCAACACAAAATGGAGGAGAGCAGAGGGCGGGACGGAAGGGATGGGAGGGACGGGGGAAGGCCCCTCGTCTTCTCGCCTCCCTCCTCCCCCTCCTCCTCCTTCCCCCCTCCTTCGTCCCTCCTCGCCCCCCTCCCCCTCCTCGCCTTCCGCGGGGGAGGGGAGGGAGAGAGAGGAAAAGGAGGAGGAGGAGGAGGAGGAGGAGGAGGAGGAGGAGCTCCTAGGAGGAGGAAGAGGAGGAGGAGGGGGAGGAGGAGAAGGAGGAGGAGGAGGAGGGGGGGGGGCCAGAGATCCAGCGCACGGAACAAAAATCAAGACGCAGGTTTTCCGCCGTTTTCGGCCTCCAGAGAACCTCGCTTGGCCTCGGGGTCGTCAAAAAACGACTCGGGACGAAACGCCAGTCCTGGGGAACGGGTCGAGACTTCTGGAGACCTTGCATGGGAAAAAATCACGAGATCGCATCTCTGGCAAGGTCGCCCAGTCAACGTTCGGCCTTCGCTCCTGGAGCGTCGAGGGTCGACCCTCCACCCTCGGAAGTTGGACGAGTCGGGGTCGGGGCCGGCGACGCGTACGACCGGGGAGACGTAAGGCGCGGGGTCGGGGTCTTCCTGCTCCTCCTCCTCCTCCTCCTCCTCCTCCTCCCTCCTCCTCCTCCTCCTCCCTCCCGCCCTCCCCTCCCCCTCCTCCTCCTCCTCCTCCTCCTCCTCCTCCTTTTCCTGCTGGAACGTTGAGGGGCGATCCTCGGAGGTCGACCCTGGAATTATGGTGTTCTGATTTACTCTAGCCCTGACCACCAGAGAGAATCTCGAGCACCAGGAGAGTACCGAAGCTGGAGAGTTCTTCCTACGGGAGGCCATGGGAGGCGACCGTCGTTCTTCTACGCTTCGTCAGCGTGTCGGGCAGACACTGCTTCGATACTTCCTCTGGGTGGTCGCGATTCTTCCTGGGACCTGGCCCCCAAGCACGATGGGAGCGGGTCGACCCTCGGAAGTCGGAAGGCGATCCTCGATTCTCGAGTGGCCGATCCTCGGCCCTTACGGTCAGA